ATTTAAACTTTTACTGCACTTTAATTTTGATATATATTTTTCTGTAATAAATAGTCGCGTGCAACGAGCTTATAAGTGCGATTTCGCGAATTGTCGGAACCAGAGAGCTCGCGTGGCATCCAACAAATGTCGGTTGCATGGCACGCGAATTATCAGAATGCATCAAGGAGGTAAAGAGCGAGATTGCATGCTGGCCAGGACAATCAAAAAAAAAAAGAAAATGTATTAAAAAGAGGAGAAAAATCTCTGAAATCCTGCACCTGGCAGTCGTTACGGGTCTTTTTTCACTGCTTTCAGCAGAGAAACCGAAAGTCCGAGGGGCTAAAAATTATCTGGATAAATAAAATAATAGCAGAAGATGCGGCTGAATCCTTGAAAAAACAAATTACAAACTCAAGTTACAGAAGCTGAGAGGTTTGTTAAAGAAAAATGAGGTCAGAATAACAAAAAAAAAAAGTATTTAAAAAATAAAGAATTATAAATAAATAAAACCCTTTAAAACTCTGCTTAAAAATTGACAGAAAAACAATTTATAATATTCTTGCGGCACTCAAATGTAATAATTCAAAGTCTTGTCATAATGATAGTTTCAAAATAAACCCAAGAAAACCCAAAAGCTTTAATTAATAATCTTGTGTGTGTGTGTGTCCTAAACTATGTAGATTCTGCTAGGCACAAACAAAACCCATGAAATATAATAATAATTTACATAAACTATAATAACAATGACCGTTACCCCACACACACACACACACAAAGGGCAATGAGTCAGCTGCCCTGAGCCCCCCTGGATCTTGGCTGGATTAGGCCAAAACAATCAGATGGCCCAGGCATTTTGATGACCACAGCTGGAATGGCACACATGGAGACACACACAGGACATGGGTCCTGGAATGGAGTGCGTACAATATATAACCATTATCAGGTGTCAGTCGACCCCGTTGTTTACTTAGTCAGCGACAATTTCCATTCCAGGACACACACCGGAGTAATAGTTAGGTGGTGTCCTTGTGGGGGGAGTCCTGTGTGGCATTCGTACACGTCGTACAATCAATTGCTATTAGTTTTCATTACACACAAATTACCATAAAATCACACACAGAGTCCCAAGTCCAGACTCCTTTTCCTTCCCCTGAATGTTCCCCCTTTTCTTTTTTTTTTTTTTGTGTAACTACTTACGACCACAAGGTGAACACTTTTTCGATATTCATGGAATAATTACACTTTATCAGGGACACTTCATGAATTAACAACATGACCGAAAGGCCAGTCCAGTCGTCTCCTTGCTCTCTCTCTGAAATTAGTCAAGTTTTGTTGCGTTTACGTGGAAATTATCGTAATTAGAATATATTGAGCAATAAAAGTGATTTTTATTATTGAACTTCCCGCAGAGAGCACACTCGTTTGCAGTTGATTTTGTACGACCCACCAACCCACCCCCAACGTCGTTTCACCAGGTAAATGGCAAACTTTATTTGCCAGCTTGGATGGGGACTCCATCCTCCTCCTTTGAGGCAACTTTTGCATTTACAGGGCTGCCAAAATCCCAAAAAGTAACTTTACCCAGGAGTAGTGGCTGCTAAATAGTTGGCAACGTAAGCCGGTCCCCCCAAAGTTCTTCTTCAAAGAGTTTCGGCCAGGAGCCAGCCAGGAGGAGCTTCAGGCCTGAAGGCTCGTTGCCCGAAGCCCTGGACCCTGGGCCAAATTAACTTTGATGCTTTCGAGGGGGGCATAAAAACGCTGGCCATTTGACTGGCTCCTAAATATCGTCGTCACTCCATGGCAACAAAAATGTCAAAGACACTCGGACGAAAATCTATTATAGATGAGTTTGTCAAGGGTTTTTATTTTATTATTTAAACGAGAAAAAGACGATTTTTAATATAATAAATAAGCACAATATTAGGAAAACTAAATTAAAAAAAAATTTTTTAAAGGGAAAATCAATTTTTAATATTATTAACAAGTAAAATAAGAGGAAAAATACATTTTAAAATTATGTAAAAGGGAAAAATTAATTTTTAATAAAATTTAAAAGTACTATATTAAGAAAACTAATTTTTTAAATTATTTAGAAGTGTAAAATAAAATGTTTAATATAATTAATAAGGATAATATTAGGAAAACAAAATTTTAAAATTATTTTAAAAGAGAAATTAAGATTATTAATATAATTAACATGTAAAATAGTAGGAAAAATAAATTTAAAAATTATTTAAAAAGGAAAAAAAGAAGATTTTAATTATAATGAACAATTATGTTAAAATTGTACAAAAACTACATATTAAAATTATTTAAAAGGGAAAAATTAATATTTCATCAAATTAAAAAGTATAATATTAAGAAAACTAATTTTTAAAATTATGTTAAAAGGGAAAACAAATTGTTAATATAATTAACAAGTAAAATAGTATAAAAACTAAATAAAAAATTTTTTAAAAAGCGAAAAGAAAGACTTTTAATGTAACTAACAAGTAAAATTGTAGAAAAATTTTTTTTTAATTATTTAATAATTCAATATAATTAATAAATACAATATTATTATTATCTTTTAAACCACTAAAGTCGGTAAATATTTTTCTTATTTCAGTTTTTACTATTTTAATTATTTATTATATTAAAAATCTTATTTTCAACTTCTAAATTTAAGATTTTAAAATTTGTAAAGTGTATGGTGTATTTTTATTAAGATTTTTTTTTCCAACTCACCAAAAATCTCCCAAAAATCTATATTTTTTTCGGTGTAACTGGAGTGGGTGCTACAGTGCTTAGGGTTCTTAGGGTTCAGAGTTGAGGGGTCGTCGGGGCTCCAGATCCGCCGCCTGGCATGTGTGTGAGTGTGTCTGTGTATGAGTTTTGTCAAGAAGCGAATGTCAATAAGCAAAAACAGCTGTCAAAACACAGACGCTCCTCCAGGAGGATGATAATGTAATTTGACAATCAACCGAATGCCACAACACAGGGCACCGAATACGAGCTGAACTCTGGAGCTCTGGACCTCTGAGCTCTGGCCTTTCGGTTCTCAATTCTCCTGGATACGGGGAGGACTCTCTGGGCTAATGCAACTTAATCGATTGGGATGCTGGGCATTTTCTAGGTAATCGACTTTGATGGCCACCACATGGGAAAGGAAAAAGCCAACGACGGGGATTTAATGAGCAGGCAACAACTGACATGAATGCCTCATAAATTGTTGCGCCCGGGGCTTTTATGAAAACATTTCCGTGGGTCCCACCATTAAAGTGCGAATGGATGGAAGGATGGCATCGTCGTTGTTGCCACATTGCACTTAGGCCGAGAGGTCGTCCTGCGTCCTGCGTCCATCGTCCTCGCATTGTTTTGTTTTATATGCAAAGAGCTTATAAAATTGAATAGAGCCGCGCCCGTATTCATAATAATGGCCAGCAATGTGGGCACTGCGTAACCCGCTTAATGTGTGCACTTAAATCTATAATATAGGGGGGGAGCGTGTTAAAAAAGCGTTGCATATAAATTATGCTATGCCTTTTTTCGCTAGGGTGGACCTGCTGTTAACTGCTAGTTAGAGGTGGTTCTAACAGAGAAATACCAAAATCAAAGGGGTTAAGAAATCCATTTAAAAAGTATCTAAAAGAAGGAGTAAACTTATTTTTTAAGCGTTTTTTATAACATAAAAAAAAATATTTACAGGAAATTTATATAAATTTATGGTAAAATGGATTTAATAGTTCTGTTAAATTTATTAATTTATTATTTATTCTCTAAGTGTTTCCTAAAATTTTAAACAGTTTTTCTGTATTTAATGGTCGTTATTTGTTTTTTATATTAAATTTTTTTCTGTGAATTTTAAATAATTATGTAAATTAAAATTATTATTTATTTTTTTAAATTTTTTTTCATGTGTAATTTTAATAATGAAATTTATTAAATTAATTAATTTTCTTTGAAGTTTTAACAAAAACTTAAATATAAATTTAACTCTTATTTTGTGCATATTTTTAAGTGAATATTTTAAAAAATGTTTAGGCTTCTATGTAAAATTTTAATAATTAAAATTATCTGAAGAACTTTGCACAATAATGATTAAATTAATACATTTTATCTTCAGAAAGAAAAAAAAATTTAATTTAAATTAAAAAAAATAAAAATAAAAATCCAAAGAGTTTGAAAACCCAATTTCCTGGCATTAAAACCCTTTAAATTAAAATTTAATTCCTGGGGTATAATTTATTAATATATTTTCATAAGTAAAGGAAAATATATTAAAATTATATACATTTTTTTTAATTTTAATTTTTATTATTAATATATTTTAATATCTTTTTATTATATTAATTATTTTTATTATTAAGTATATAATTAATAATTATATCCTCCCAGTTCACAAATATTTTTCCATCTTAATCAGGTCCATCCCAAAAAACACAAACAAAAAAAAACACATCCAGCTATAAATAGAAAAATTACATTAAAATAATGTTGTGTAAGCGAAAATTGCGTTTACAAATCCAATCTGTGCTGGCTATATATATAGAGGGCAAAGGGAGGAGGAGAGTGCTCCTGCTGCAGTGTGGCACAAAATGTTGGAGTTTTTATAGTAACGCCCACATTAAATTACAAGCGGCCAGATAACTTTGCCAATGGCACTTTGATGATGCCGTTTGCCATTCACCATTTGCCAGTTGCCCGATGAAACCTGAGGATGGACCCCAGAGTGGGAGAGACAGAAAGCTCCTCCAGGAGGAGCATAAAGTTTGAAGCTTCGTCTTTTGATGATGAACTGCAGAAGGGAAATGGCATGGAGTGCCATAAGCACTGACCGAAAATAAGGTTATATTTGATAAATTTATTTGAAAATTAATTGGGGAAAGTATTTTATAAAAATTAAGAAGATTAAGTCGGTCAATTGGAGCTATACAAAAAATTTGAAATCTATATAAATTCTAAAATACATAATAAACTATTTTAAAATATATATTATAATTGTAAAAAATATATATTATAATTGTACAAAATATATATTATAATTTTAAAAAATATATATTATTGTAAAAAATATATAAAAACATTCTTTCTTTTTGTTCACTTCATCTAAAACTGCTGGCTTGAATTGTTGAAACCATGGTGTACAGCCGCATTCCTTCGGTCTTTTGGAAGACCTAAGTGAATCCCAGTTGCCGCTATGGATCAGGAGTTGAAGATCATTGGAGAATATGGTATTTGCCCTAATTCATAATCCATATTCCTTTATCCTTGGTGCGCATGGATTCCCAGAAGCACATTGACTTCTCCCTAAAAAAGCCCTTTGGTAACGTCAAAAGGGAGAACCTGACGAATCAAGAAGGTAGCGAAGCTGCTGTCGAAGATTAGAAAAGAACACAAATATATATCAAAAATATATATAATTATTTAACTATTTTACTTGGAAAAATTTTGACTTTTCATCACTTTTGCAAAAGCTTTTTCCACCAAATTTTGTTTGAGAAATGTTCCAAAATTTTTTGTAATATATAATTTTGAATATTTTACGAAGAGCTCCGTCTTTCAACAAAGCTAAAACTAAACTGAACTAAGCACAAGACGAAAACAAGTTTAAAAACTTTTAATCAGTGACAAGGACATCACCTGGATTACTAGATTGTTAAGATTTAACTTACATTTTAAGCAGAAAAATAATTTCCACATCACTTTACCTTTGAAATTGATTTCAAACTTGGAAAAGTGAAAATCAATATAAAATATCTTCTACGAAAATATTTTAAAACCATTTTAAAATGGCCAATCAGGAGGAATACGAAGAGTTTAAGAAGCGATTCAAGATGCTCTTGAATTTCCCAAAGTATTTAAAGATAAACTCTGATAAGTTAAACCCCAACATAACCACCTCCAGCAAGGGTCGCAGGACCCTGAAGCAGTGGCTGGGACGCATTATGCGCCTCAAGATAACCGAAAACTAAAATATAATTTTATAGCAATTTTAAAACTATATTTACGTTAAACAAAACATTTTTTCGAGTGTTTGCATTGAGCGAGTGAGTGGCAGGCCGCTCGTTTTTGCGGTCTCGCAGGTAGCAGGAAGGAAGAGGACTCTTGGCCCTGCTTCCCGTCACTTGTGGCCAGGTGACAGGGGAGGAGCAGCAGAAGCAGCACCGGACTCCAAGAGGAAACCATTGAAGAGAAGACCTAACAAGCTGGTCGGGCAGCAGGCAGCAGGCAAATAGATAAACTAGCACCGCATGCTCGGCAATTTGACTCCGCTCGGCATGCTGGTTGCGCCAAAAGGTGTGGCCTCCAGTCCAAGAGGCTACCTTCTCCTCCTCCTCTGGCCTCCTCCCGGAAATGGTCAATGGTCAATGGTGGTACAGCAGTCAGGGATCAGCACACACGGCTCTGCCCATGGCCATGAGCGTTTCGGATTTACAAAACATTTTATTCCAGAGTTCAAGTCATAGTGGCAACAACAGCTCAGGTGGGCAAAAACACTGTAAAAAAAAAGGGAATTAAAAAAAAAAATTTAATTAAAATTTTTAAAATAATTTAAGAATTTTTTTTAGGAATTTAAAAGTTTTTTTTTGGGATTTTTTAAAGATTTAAATTGAACTTCTTAAAGATTTTGACTTTTTTCAAAGAATTTAAAAAATTAGGGAAATTTAAAAAGTTTAAATTAAATTTCTAAAATAATTTAAGATTTTTTTAGGAACTTAAAAGTTTTTTTTTTTTTTTTTTGGATTTTTTAAAGATTTAAATTGAATTTCTTTAAATTTTCACTATTTTTTTCAAAGATTGTCTTTTTAAAAATATTAAATATAAATATAAAATTTAAAAAAAAATTTAAAAAGTAATAGAAAAAAAGTATATACCAATTTTAAATATTTTTTTAAAGACATTTCATGATCATTTTATTGGCATTTCTTAGGATTATAAGCACATTCCTAAAGGATTTCCCACTTTTAACAGTGCCCAAAGTGGCTGGGAAATAGGACTTCTGTGTTTGGAGCAGGAGCAGCAACACGAGCAGGAACAGGATGCTCGAATTGGGAGCTTGGACTAGCCACTAGTAGGAGCTACTAGTAGTCGTAGTCTCGTGCAATTGCAGCACGTCCATCAGTGGCCCATTGTCTGTGTCGCGCATACGTAATGAAGTGAAGTGATTGGACTGCAGGGGAATGGTGGGGGAGGGGGAGGGGGAGGGGGTTGGCCAGGGGAGTGGGTCACATTGCAGTTACCTGACCTGGCCACCTCATCATCCGCAGGATACCCAGTCCCCCATCATCATCATCATCATCATGTCGATTGGCTGCTGTTTGTTAGCGTTCATTGTGGGAAAGGCAGGGATAGGGCAGGAGCAGGGACAGGGCAAGGGAGCAGGATCAGGATGCAGGAAAAGGGACTGGGACTGGTAGTGGAACTAGAACTGGGTATGTCGGTGTCGGATTGTGCATTGAAAGAAGCGCAATTAGCACTTCGATTGTGTTCAGTTGACGCGATTTGCATCAAATTAATGTCTTCATCAGCAGACAAACCGGACACAGGACACGGAGGGGTGAACACATGGACACGGAACTCGGACACGGACAATTGAAAACATTTTGTCCTGCAAATAGAATCAAGCCAATAAAACGCGTTGTTCGGGCTTTTTGTTTTTAACAAAAAATATACAAAAACTGCAAACAATAAATAAACAAAAATACCGAAACAAAGGCTTGCTTTAATCTCGTCACTTGGCTGGATAATTTTGTTTACAGTTTCGATTGAATGTTAATTATAATTTATTTATAAAGGGGGTCAATGTATATATCAATATACAAATATTCAATATTTTAACATCAAATTCAAATTTAATCAAAAATTCCCAGCATTATTTTGGTAAATAACAATTATTGATGGAAATGGAAGGGTTTTAAAAATTAAACAAAATTAGAACATGGAATGTAAATAAGTCAAGAAATAAATGAGCAAGTAAATAAATAAATTACTGGGAAGTTGTAATATCCTGCAAGGGTATAAAAATCATCAGCCGAATCTATTTTTCCGTGTTCTTTAATCAAAACCGTTTGCCTTGTCTTTAAGTTTTACTTTTTTCATTGCTTAAATTTGTGTTTTTTGGTATCCAATAATATTTTAAAATGTATTTAATTTTGTAAATTTTTAATATTAAGATGAACATGATTTTTGAGCTTAAAAAATAATTATTTTGTGTACTCACATTTGCCTAGGTCCCTCCTTTGATTGATCAATCTCCTTGATCTTTGATCAACACTACCACACAACCACCTACCTCTACCACTAGACCTCAACTTTCAGCTGGGTTACCACTCAGTAGATGCTAAAACTAGTTGGGAATTATAATTTTTTTTTTTTATTTTAATTAAATTTTTATTATAAAATGTTGAAAAATGTTAACAGAGACTCTTCCTAGAGAAAACCTCCACCTTTGCTGTCTTATCATTTTCAAAAATCCTAGGAAATATCCTTTAGCCATCACCATATAATCCTTACCTAAACAAAAACCAAAGAATCAACCGTAAACGGTTTTTCCCAAATTGGTTTTTCCCAGTGAAACTTGTTGAACTTGCAGTGTCACAACAATTGCTTCTGGATTTCCCTCGCTGCAGCACCAAGTTCTGTCTGCGTGCCTATATCTCTGTGTATCTGTGAGTATGGAAAGAGACAACACTGAGAGAAAAAGTTACAAGCCAAAAATGATTTTTTTCAAAGATAAAGTTAAAGAATTAAAGTTAATTCATGTTTAAAATAGTTAAACATATAGGAAGTGTTTTTTTTTTTGTTCTTTGTTTTCTTTTTTAATTTTATTTTCATTTTCTTTTAATTATTTTCTTAATTATACGTTTGTTTTTTTGTTTTTGCTGTGTGTAGTCCTGGCAGCTGCTTATCCTTCCGTCTCCTCGACGGCTCCTTGTGTCGCCGCTTCTTGTCTCCTCGCATCCTTTATTTATTTATTTTCCCAGCTTTCTTTCGCTTTGGTTTTTCTCTCTCCTGTGTGTGTCTGTGTCTCGCTTTTCTTTCTTTCCTTTCGTTTCTTTTCTTTTTTTTCCCCCCGTTGTTTTTCTGGCTTTCCTTTTCTTTCATTTGCCTTCAATGCAATTATACTGGATAAATATCTTCTTCCGTTTTAGCTGTAATTACAAAAGTTTAATTGAGTTTTCTCGGCTCGTTGTGTTCTTTTTTGCTGCTGCTCCTCTTGCTCTCTCTCTGTTGTTGTGGGCGGAGTTTAGGGGGCGGCAAAGGAAGTTTTTCCCTCGGCATTCGTCCTGAAGTTGTCGTATCGTTGTCGCCGCGGCTGCTGCTGCTGTTGACGTTCTCCCAACCCATCCCCCTACTGTTCCAGCTTGCCCGTGTGTTTCCCAATCTCGCATCCAAATCCAACTCTGACTTCGGGCTTCCACTTCAGCCATATCTTGGCAGCAGAAACTCTTTGCGGGGGCACTGGGAAAAAATGTGTTAAACGAGTGAATTTTTTAGTTTTTGTAAAGAAATTATTCTGCTTAAAATATGCTAACGTTGTTGTTTTTTTAAGTTTAAGAAAGTAAAAATAATTATTACAAAGACGTATAATATTTTTAAGAAATTATTATGACCTCTTGACTAAATTTGTTTAGAAGAATATTTATTAGTTTAAAAAAAATTCCGTTCATAAGAAAGTTAAATGTTTTCAATAAAATGTTAAAAATACGTTTTTTTAAATATATTGTTAAAAATAAACTTTTTCTATTAATTATTTTATTTATTTATTATTTTTAATGTTTTAATATATTAAAAAATTTTTTTTTAACTATTAGAACCTTCTCTGAGTTAAATTTCATTAAATAAAAATTATAATTTTGAATAAAACAAATTTTAAATTCAAGAGGAAATTGATTTTTTTAAGTACAACTTTAAAAACAATTTTATAAATTTAAAAAATATTTGTATAAAAAGTTTTTATATTAAAAAAATCATTTTTTTAAATAAAAATAGTTTTAAAAATGGATTTTTTAAGTACATAAGCAAATTTTTTAAGTCCAACAAAAGAAATGACCTTAAAATTTTAATTTGCGTTGTTTCTTTTCGAAAATTTGTACTAAAAAACATATTTATAACAATTTTAAGTTACTATATTGTTTTTCCCAGTGCATAGGCTATATCTGCCAGCTCTTGTTATTGTTGATGTTGCAAAAAAAGAAAAAAAAAAAAGAGTTGCGGCGCTCGGCTGCCAGAGCAGGCCTGTCTCCTGGCCACGTGATTGTTTTCCTTTTTGCCGGGCCTGTGGCAAACACTTTGTTAACACCACCCCACCCACGCCCTCCTCAAGGACAGTGTATAATAAAAAGTGATTAAAACAGAAAATAAAGCTGCTAGCCGCCGACTTGACTTGGCTGCAACAATTATTGATAAAATGAGGCGACAATTTCCAGAGGGCCACACCAAAATTACATTAAATTATATAAAAAACAGTAAAAATATGAAAATTAAAATTGGTGATTTTAAAATTTAAGTTTTTTGACTAAAAAATATATGTATATATGCATATGGTAGGCCCAACTTTGCAGTCAAAGTCAATTTATATTTTAATAAATAGCGAAAGTGTTGAGGCAGC